ATGAGTAAACATAAGTCCTTGGGATGTTGCCTGACAGTGAATACACATAAGTCCTTGGGATGTTGCCTGACATCATAGACCACACCACTTGACTTCTGAGAGATTTAGTTTTCATAACTATGATAAGAAAGGTAACTAGACATGAGGGATTGTTTGTCTTGAAACTATTAGAAAATTTAATTGTTAATTAAGTGTATTAGGTATATAGCAGCAAATTGTGAGACTCCTGCACTACAGCGTTTTGGAAATGTGCTGTTTATGAGACTTCTGGATCTATCTGGTATAACATATAGCGGGAACCAGCAACAGTGCAGATTCCTTCTTTGTGATTTATTACTAGACTCTGCTAGGCAAACACTGAGTTGATACCTTCAAACAGGAAAAACCACATTGCCCCATATCCTTACGTACTCAACATTTATTGACACCATCCCAACTCATTCCACACTGTGTAAAGTACCTAACTAAAGAAGTTTTTTTTAAAATAACCTTAGAATTAGGTATCAGATATGGAGGCTTTATGTTATTCATTTCCCATTTAACAGACAACAGAAGGAAGGAGACTGAGCACAAGTAGTAGCTTGAGTTCTGCAAGTCTTGATGGAGCTAGACCTACGTCAGGTGCAGGAGCACCACAGAACATAAACATGTGTGACTGTGAGATGGGAGGTGACATATTGTCATGCAGCTGTGCTCAAGCACATGATTCCGATACCAAAGGTATGGAGAAACTTATGCTGGGTTATAGTTGTTTCTGTTTATTATTGTTGTTTCTGTTCTCATATTGTTTTATGAAGAGCTCAAATAAGGTATTGCAGCCTGGTATTTATTTATTTTTTTAATATTTGTAGGTATTAAATCCCTTATATGTGACTAGTGTTGTGCCTTTCTGTGGAGCTATCATAATGTTCATATCATAGTCTGTTGATCCATAATGTATCTAGAAAGTTTTTACCATATTTTAAATTGTGCCAGTTGTGATTAGCATCTCTAATATCATCCCTATATGTGGTTTTGAATTTCTGTTTTGTCTGATACACACGTGCGCGTGCGCACACACACACACACCTTCTTGCATCTGTCACAGTTATGTCTGCTTACCTCATTCTTATCACAGTTTTCTTCATGACATGTACTGAAGACTGTAATCATTTTTACGGTATTTCCAACTCTCTATGCTACCCCAATATTTCTGAGTTTAAATATTTTTTGGGTATACTGAGTTGATCTTTACTTTGAAGAATGTAGATTTTTCCCAGTGTTTCCTCTCCACCCCGCAATTTTTATTAGCTCTATTCATTTGGTTGAGCTGGGGTAGCTCAGTCAGTGCAGTGACTGGCTATGGACTGGATGACCAGTGTTTGATCCCAAACAGGGGCAGAGGATTTTTTCTTTAGCCTCTGAGTCCAGACCAGCTCTGGGGCCCACCCAGCCTCCTATCTAATGGGTTCTGGAGTCCTTTCCCGGGGTAAAGTGTGGCTAGGGCATGATGCTGATGACTCACCCCCCACCCCCATTTAGTGCCAAGGTCAAGAATGATTAGGAACAATTTTCCTCCCTCCCCCCCACCCAGCACCTACATGTTATATAGCAAGACAGCTTTGCTTTTACCTTTAATATTCATTTGGTTATTCTTGCATGTGTTGCTTTTCATTGTATTTTGTGTTGTAACCATTGTTTTTAGGTGTATGTTTTTCATTTTATGCTATTGGGATATTGCTCATTCTGTTAAATGTGTGGTTGAATGCTGCCATTTTGTGTTCCCTTTATGTACTGATGTATTGTGTGTTACAGTGTCTGTGTTTGTTAGTTTCCAATATAACCATAGTTCAGTGGGATTTTCTCCTTTGTAGATTTCAAAATCAAAAGAAAATTAATTTATCTGTCGTTCTCTAATTCCATAGTGTTTTATCTTATGATGCATCTTTTAATATATACTGTGTTGTTGTTGTTGTTCTCCAACAGACAGTCAGAATATTGTATTTTTTCTAACATATTCTGTCTGTTTCCTTTGAATCATGTTTGGGTGGTTCTTCGGTAGATTTTGTATTAAGATTTCTATCAATATTAGTTGGTATGGGTGAGCCCATGGGGGTCCCATCCATTTCTATCTTACAGTTTTCATTAATCTTAAAATAATTCTAACTTAATGAAATTTGAAGATTTCTGTCTTCTGGGTTTGTTGCGCCTTGTAGTCTGGTCAATGCATTGACCAGACTATTCACCGCTGTGAAAACCTCAAATCTTACTTAATGAAATTTCGTTGTTGGGTCATTATGCAGTTTTTGGTGTTTTTTATGTGCTGTAAGTTTAGTCTTTTCTTGATATTGTTCTGTTCTTGTTACAACTGCTGGTATTCCTTTGTCTGTCATAGTAACTATTAATTTGTTTTGTTGTTTCTTTCTTATTCATTCTGGTTGTTGTTGTTGTTGTGTTTTTTGTTTTTGTTTGCGTGTGTGTGTGTGTGTCACCATACTTCCACTCTTTCTCTTCTGCGTCATTTCTCAGTGTATAGTTACCCATATAGCTGCAACCATTGTGTTTGTACATAGGCATTTTTTGTATTGCAGCATGTTTTTGTTAATAGTCTTTCTAACCATTATGCATTATTTGGCTGCAGTAAATAATTTTGCAGGCCTTTCCCAGTAAATGCTTAAATGAAACCTGTAGCAAAATTTGAGTAGGTAAATATGTATCTGAGACATTCTTCATCAAGAACGGTCTAAAACAAGGAGATGCTTTGTCTCCCTTGCTCTTTAACTTTGCTCTAGAATATGCCATCAGGAAAGTCTAAGATAGGCAGGAGGGTTTGCAATTGAATGGGACACATCAGCTATTGGCGTATGCTGATGATGTTAATTTATTGGGGTACGATATGAATACAATAAAGAGGAACGCAGAAGTTTTACTAGAGGCTAGTAGACAGGTAGGGCTAGAAGTAAATTCAGAAAAAACTAAGTACATGTTAGTATCTCGTCATCAGAAGACAGGCGGGCAAAATTATCTTAGGGTAGCTAATAAGTCCTTTGAAAGGGTTACAAAGTTCAAATATCTGGGAACAACAATAATAAATCAAAATGACACTCATGAGGAAGTTAGGAGGAGATTAAATTCTGGAAATGCTTGCTACTTCTCAGTTCAAAATATTTTGTCTTCCTATCTGATTTCTAAGAACCTGAAAATTAAAGTGTACAAAACAATAATCTTGCCTGTTGTTTTGTATGGGTGCAAAACATGGTCTCTCACTCAGAGGGAGGAACACAGATTGCAGGTGTTTGAGAATCGGGTGTTGAGGAGGATATTTGGGCCTAAGAGGGAAGACGATGGGGCGCTGGGGAGACCTAGACATAGATGGGAGGATAATCTCAGGCGGGATCTATGGGAGATAGGAGTTGAAGAAAACTGAATTTTGTTGGCCCAGGACAGAGTCCGGTGGAGGGCTTTGGTTAATTCAGAGATGAACCTTCGGGTTCGGTAAGCCATCTAGTTAGTTAGTTTCCCAGTAAATGTTTCTGATTTGTCTAACTACATTTTGTTAACTATTTGTGGGTAAAATTTGACTTCATCTTCTTTTTTCACTGTGTTTATGTTTGGTTTATCGAGTTCCTATATTTTCTTCTTATTATGTATCTTGTATTTATGATCATTGTCATATTTTAGGGCTTGATAAATATTGTATTCTATAATTATCCAGTTCTTATTCAGTAATACATGGCCTATAGATGTGCTCTGTATAATTCTCGATTAACCGATTGTTATTATGTTTGTTGTTTACCCTAATATCTGTAGTTGTACTCCATGATTTCTTAGCATGTTTTGCTGTAATGTTCTATACATGCTCTATACATTGCTTATTGAACCATATTAAATTCAGTTCATTTATTTAAGTGTTTGCCATTAGCAAGAAGCCAATAACAGGCAAACACTGATAATACATATAATAATAATGAAAAATATTTCACAAACAAATTAACTAAACATATATATGTACAGTATTAAATATAACAGCCAAATATAGGCAAACCCAAAATAGAAACAATATTATACACAAAGAAAATAAATGAAGAAATACAAATAAAAGCAAATAATCCACCTAGGGAAACACTAGTATAAATGTAAAACGCTAAAGAAATACAAGGAAATAATCATCATCATCTATCAAGACAACCTATCTAGATCATTTCCCTTATTGAGAACGTTCCCTCAAGGGAGACAATGTTTATGCTAAATATGTCCAAAGATTACGTATGTCATATGTTCGCATTTGTAATTTTTTCTTGCATTTCAGTAGTAGTTGACAGTTTTAGCATGTTTGGCTGTTACAGTCTTTGTTGCTGACTTGAGAATGTGTGTTGGGACTAATGTGTTATAGCAGACAGTGCAGGAACAGCACAAATGGGTAGTACAGTGGACTTTTCAACACACAACAGTGGTGAACCACATGGTGTGGCAGCTTCCCCTGGACCTTCGTCACCGGCACAAAGCAATAAAAGCTCAGAATCCAGTGGCAAGGTTCTCTTACTTGAAGCTCTGCTGAGTTTTCTACACAGTGCGGTGGGTTTTGTTTACGTATTTGGTTTTCATGTACATGGGAATGATATGTACACACATGTACAAGAGGAGGAATTAGCTTGCATGTGTACCTCCTTGCTGTAGTTATCAGTCTTCTCAATAAGTTACCAGGTACTGTACCTGCATTATCATAATATAAAATCCTTCTGTCTTCCTCACTTTTAGTCCTGTGTATTGCTTGCTAGTTGACTATATATTATGTTCTAATGCATAAAGTCATATCTCTGTCCAATGCTGTTTCATTGCTAGGCAACCATATGCAAGTTTATATAGCTGTCTGTTGTTTACATCTCGTTGTGCCAAGTGGAAAATAACTGGAAAGATTTGTGATGTCCAGAGGTTTGGATCATTTGAAGTTGAGGTTTGGTTGTGGAAGTAATCTCACCCTTTGGTTCTGTTCTGAGTCTGCAGTTTTTAGAGCTGTGAAAGGTTGAGTAACCAATTTATTCTGATTCACAAAATGTAGTAAATACTTTGAAGTAGGTGTAGTAGGAAGAAGTCTACAACACAAAATGCACAGATTATTACAGTGCATGTACACACTGCAGTAAAATTAATACAGAAGGACCTGCTAACTATGAGTAGCATGTTGGTATAATGAAACACTTTTTATCTTCATAAAGGCGTAATATGGGTGTTTGAATGTTAAATGCTTCAGAAAATTATATTTGTGTATTATGAGTGTTTTTTTCTCTCCAAAATTACTTTTGAAAATTAAAAGACTGCATTATATGTTTTCAGAGAGACATTCTACGTTGCATTGAACATTGAATATGGTTTTATCAAAATCACTACATTATTTTCATTGCTGAAACATAGACAAAACAAAAAGGAACCTCTAATATTTGACCCAAACTGGAGAGTAAGAACCCTGTTTTTGAAGTTGCTTTTCATAAATGAACATAGCATTCATTTCCAAAATGATGACTTCTGAAGTCTTGCCAAATTTCAGCATTGCCTGCCTGTATTTGTTTATCCAAAGTCATAAATTGTAGCAGACAAATGATTACGACTATCCTGTTGAATTTAGGGATAGGCAGGGTGAATGATTTTCCTATAAATTTGTCCCCAAAGGTACAATATGAGAACAGTATTTTAACATTTCAATAAAAACAAAGTTGCTTTTTATGTTAGTCACTTGATTACAGATGACAAATATATTATTTAATTTATTAGCACTCATTAACTCAAAAAAGGAGCCAGTGTCTGCAGTCTGATACAGTAGACTAAACATTCCTCAATATAAACCATTGATTATATCAGTATTGCAGTCAGCCAACATCTCCACAAATCACAAAACATTTGTACTTATTCTGTTTCTGACATTCTGTGTCCACCTCACTTTAGATGTGCCAGGTGGTTAATTGCTGGCTTCTCACTTAGGAGACATGGGTCCATGCCCAGGACAGTCCATATGGGATTTGTGGTGGACAGACAAGACAGGTTCTTCTCCATGTATACAGAGTGAGTCAAAATTATGTTTACAAACTTTGTGTGCTTGTTCCTGGATCAAAAATAAGAAAAAATGTCCTTATGAACTTGTGATTGCAAATGGTTCTTTTTCAAATAATAGCCAAAATTAAGTTTCAATGTATGCCTTTATTGCCAAGTATAAGGACAGGGATGTTTCTTTGTAACAGATGCTCAATGGTTGCTCCTCTATTCTCCACACATGCCTGAGCACGACATACACAAGACTGACGGATTTGTTCATACACACCAGGGTTTCCTCGAATCATATGGCTTGCATTCTGCACACGTTTCCATAGGTCTTCATTGTTTATTGGTGTTGCATAAATGACGGACTTCAAGTGACCCCACAGATAAAATTCCAATGGAATCAGGTCCGGTGACCTCGGTGGCCATGCTACTGGGCCACCATGTCCAATCCATCTCTGAGGGTGCTGTTGATTGAGATGATCTCTGATGCGGCAGTAGGAGTGTGCTGGCACACCGTCGTTCATAAACCACATTTGTCTCCTTGTATTCAGTGGTACATCTTCAAGGAGACGTGGCAAGTGTCTTCTTAAGAATCGCTGATATAAAGGTCCTCTTAGACATGATGGAAGCATGTGTGGACCAATAAGAATGTTGCCAACAATTCCTGCCCAAACGTCAATTGAAAGCTGGATTCACTTTGACATAGAAACTTATTTTTGACTATTATTTCGAAAATGAAACAAATGCGACCCCATGTTCATAGGAACATTTTTTCTTATTTTTGATCTTGGAACACGCACATGAAGTTTGTAAACATACTTCTGACTCACCTTGTGTCGTGAAGTGTGTCTTGGCTGGTTAACCAACAAGAGAAAATACATAGTTAAAGAAATGATGTCCTAAACTGGTAAATGGATTAATCAAGACAACTTCGGTCAGAACCTGTGGTCCTAATAAGCTTCATTACTCATAATGCAAGCCTGTTTGCTGGCAGCACACAGCAGTTTGTAGTCCAGTGCTCTGTTTATAAAACTTGTCTTACAAAAATTAAATGACAGAGGATGTCTTCTTTATATGTTAGTTTTTGTCAGTATACAACAAAGTGCAGCACGTTATTATCTGAGGACTGACAGCTTTCTTTATAGAGAAGCAGTAATGCATAACTGTTCTGTTGACAACTAACACTCTTCTCCCTCTGTCCCTAGGATAGTAGGGTAGTAGTTAAGGCTTGTGAGGGGGTGATGGTGATGGCATCACTTCCATCAGATGTGTTTGCACACTCAGTGGCGTGTCGTTCGGACTTGTGCTCCATACTGGTCAGCAAGCTGAATGCCTTGTTTGCAGCTATCCCACCTGACATTGATCCAAATGATCTAGATGATATGCAAGTCAATTGGGGGTAAGCCTGCAGTTAAGTCAGAATTCTTTGGAGTTCTGTTTGTGTATTTGTTCCACAGTGCCACTTTGATAAGCAATTAAAAAGTGGAAACTAAATGTGTCTGCTCATATTAGAATAAATAAATACATTTTCTCAGAATACAGTAGTCCTTTGCCATTTTCAGGAGTTATGTTCATAGTATTGTATTTTGCCTTCCCAGTAATGAACGTATTTAAAATGGTATTAATATTTTAATATCAGTCCATAGAAAATTCCTCTCAGCAACCATACTTGGCAGCTTACAGAAATGTTACTAAAACTTTGTAACACTATCAACAGAAAACGGCAGCTTACAGGAATGTTACGAAAACTTTGTAACACTATCAACAGAAAAAAATATTCTATCAGTATTTTAATACATTTCCATATTGTATTTTTTGCATAATTTTCCCTGCTTTTTAACTTCTGCTTTCCAAATTTTGAGGGCAACACTTTCTTGTATAATTTTATCATCTTTTATTCAACATGCTGCCAACATCATTGTTCAGATGTACTAAAGCTGGCTTAAGGTGAAAAAGGGTATTTGCTAACATAATGTTAAAACACGAGTAAACAGCAATGTTAGCATGAATTATGCTCACATGGAACATTTGGGCTAAGGAGGTATGAGAGTGCTGTGCATGGGTAATTTACAGTAGTGTTTTGTTGGTTCCTACATTCATCTGCAAATAGAAATATTTCTGTAAACTTGCATACTTGAAAGAATTACTGTGTTATAAGTAACCTCTTTAAGTCATTTAGCAGATCTATTTTTACTGTATTTACCAAAATGGAAGACGAGTACTCTTGCCTAATTTCCAGGGTTGAAAGACAAAGGTTCATCTTCAATTTAAGTGGGATTTGAGGTTCTTACTGTGGTGGGTGTGAAGATGGTTCTGTTCTGGGTTGCTGCATCATGTAGTCTGGTAGAAGTTTATTGATGTAAGATTTGAGGTTTTCACGGTGGTGAGCATGAATATCTCTGTCTTCTGGGTTGTTGTGCCGTGTAGTCTGGTCGATGCTAACCAACGTTTCAGAGGTCATACTCATCGCCCTGATGATGGAGGCAGTATGACCTCTGAAACGTTGGTTAGCATCGACCAGACTACACGGCACAACAACCCAGAAGACAGAGATATTCATGCTCACCACCGTGAAAACCTCAAATCTTACATCAATAAACTTCTACCAGACTACATGATGCAGCAACCCAGAACAGAACCATCTTCACACCCACCACAGTAAGAACCTCAAATCCCACTTAAATTGAAGATAATCCTTTGTCTTTCAACCCTGGAAATTAGGCAAGAGTACTCGTCTTCCATTTTGGTAAATACAGTAAAAATAGATCTGCTAAATGACTTAAAGAGGTTACTTATAACACAGTAATTCTTTCAAGTATGCAAGTTTACAGAAATATTTCTATTTGCAGATGAATGTAGGAACCAACAAAACACTACTGTAAATTACCCATGCACAGCACTCTCATACCTCCTTAGCCCAAATGTTCCATGTGAGCATAATTCATGCTAAGTTGGTGTGCCATCCTCTCACACCATTGGTGACGTAGATGCAAAATGTGCCATCATAAAAACATTAGAACATGAAAAGAAGTGAGTTATTAATATTGACAGTGTTGGCAGATGGCACGCAAGTATCATTGTATGTCATACCCAGAGAAGTAAGCCAAAGGTGCATCTGCCTACAGGACTGATATCAGTTGCCATATTAATGCAAACTGGTTACAAGTTGTCTGTCTGGAACAGGAGACCATGGGTATTGCTGAACTGTTGAGAAAATGAAATAAATTAAAGTTCTTTCTTGAATAGATATCAAGTCTGCTATTCATGCAGTGAATATTGACCTTGTGGCCATACCTGAAGAGATGACCTCACGGCTACAAGTTCTAGATGTAGTAATACATAAGCATTTTAAGAATCATTTGAAGCAATTGAATTCTGAATTTCTCTTGGCAGGTAGCTGTGTTATGACAGCTACCAAGAATGTAAAGAAGGTCAGTGTAGCAGTGAGTCAAGACTTAATGACAGTGGATCTTTCCAGGAATTACAAAGTGCTGTATATGGAACACAATGAATAAAAGGTATTATATGGAGAGAGTCGGGAATGTTGCCACAGCAATGGAGTATGGAATGGTGAAAACAGGGAACATGGAATAGGAGATAGAGATTGTGAAGATGGACAGACTGGTTGACTGATCTGGAAAAGGCTTGTAGTAACTGTGCAACCAGAAATAAATAAATTGACCAAATAAATGTAACTTGTGATATGTTTTGAAAAATTTATTTTCTTTAATATCTTTTGGTAGTAATACTGTGAAAGTAATACATAAAGTCACTTTTTCTATACGTACATATTGCCTAGTTGTCATTTTTCTGAGATTTGTAATCATCTTCCATTCACGTAAATATGGTATTATTTGCAGAAAATTATTTCCTTGTGCAAGTGAAGTTTGAATTGCTGGAATATATGAAATTAATAATTTCCATGTTTTACGGTATATGCAGTTTGCAGGTATTTCTTATCGGAAAACATTTTAGTTTCATTTGTTTTCAGCTTGGACTCACCTGTATGGACTGAGAGTTCACAGTTCCCAGGTTGCCGTCAGGTGGCAGCATTTCTCGGTTGGCTTGACTATTGTGACCAGGTGAGTTGATTCAGTCCATTATATTTGTCAGATGTCCGTCTAATAAGCTTTACATTTTTTAATTCATCTTTTACAAGGAGTTGGAGAACCAGTGCTTGAAGTTGTATGTGTTAAGTCAGTGGTGCATGTATCAGTTTGCTGTTTGTTGTGTATATTTGGACTATCCTTATGTCTTTGTTTTCTATCTTCAAGCATTGATGATGAGGCTTTCATTACTTTCTTTGCCCTGGGGTACTCTATCTAGATATGGATTCATTAACCCTTGCATAGAATGTCAGAAGGACTAAACTGGAGGCATTGCTACAGAAATGCAGAGACATTGTCACTTATGAATGTTCAGTACCTGCATTCCTATTGAATATTTATACAAGTGTTTGGTGAAACAGCTTGTTCGAGAATCTCATCCTATCATTGGCAATGCACTGGCTAGCTGTGTGCGATTGGAGTTCCTCGATTGTGTCCTGGGCCCAGCCCTTCTGGAACCAGGTGGTGCTGATGAAGTCCTTATCACTGCCTTCATTAGCAAATGCCTGAAGCATGTCTCTGCACCTGCCCTGCTCAGTGGTAAGCACAGATATTTGTGAAAGGGGAATTTATTAAGAGCTGGAACAGCTCAATCAGTGAAGTGGCTGGTTGCAAGCTGGATGGCCAGGAGTTTGATTCCCAGTAGAGACAGAGATTGTTCTGTTTGGAATCACATCAGGACGGACTGTGGGGTCTATCCAGACTTCTATCCATTGGGTAATGTGAGCTCTTTTACTGCAGATGAAGTGGCCAAGGTGTGCAAGTAAAACTGCAGATGAAGTGGCCAAGGTGTGCAACTGAAAACATGTTTGCATCTTACACCAAGGTTTAGAACACATGGAGTGTAACCTCAATATCCATGCCTCATGGCATAATGCTCAGGCACATTTAATGCAACTTTCCTAAAACTTAAAATTTTTGTAGCCTTCACAATTTTCTGTTCCAATATATTGTGAATTATCCTCATGTTTGTTAAATTCAGGTTCTGTGAATTGAAGGATGTGACATCTCATGTCTTTTCTGTTACTTACTACTTAATGTTACTTTGTGCATATGGCTGGTTTGCCATTAAATGGAGGTGGGTATGGTTCACTGTATTGTATATAAATACACTTCATTTGATTTTGTAGTTACCTGACCAGACAGGACAAAGGACAGAAACTCTGTAGAAAGGATGATTATACATCATCAGGTATGTAAGTGATGATGGCTTTCTTCTGGGCTGTAGCATCATGTAGTCTGGTAAAAGGTTTCTGATGTTTCAGAGTTACTTGCTTCTTTCATAATTAGCAAGCAGGTACCTCTGAAATAACAGTAAACTTCTACTACACTGCATGGCACTACAACCTGGAAGACAGCCATTTTCATACTTGCTGCCTTGAGGACCTCATCCTAGAGGCACAGAAGTGTTTGAGTGAGGGGGAAGACATTGAGCTGAATTTGGCTGTATTGGGATGTGTGCACTGATGAATCCTTGGGCTCCATTACATGATGTGTCTTGATCACTTGACTGAGCATCAACTTTAGAAGGAAGAGTGTATATTGCAGTCAGTTAGTGATCTTTGTATGAGGAATTGGTGCCTGGTTTTCCAGTAGTATCTATAGGGTGTCAGTGTGATAAGCAGTGCTGCTGGCAGCTCAGCTCTCTGGTTCTTGCAGCAAATTTCTGTGCTGCATCTACCACACCCAGTGTCACTGTGAGCCATATTGTTCAGTGTTTTTACCAACATTTTTGCTGTGTACTATTCTGAGGTGGGAGAGACATAACACATATAGGACTTCGAAAGTATATAAGAGAATAAAACTTTGAAAATTAAATAACATTTAATAAGTGCCCCCTCCACTCACAGACTGATAACACTCTGGCAGACGTATGGAATATTAACTCAGTTTCATAGTTTAATGACTGTAGTGGGGTGTAACTTATGCCTTATATTTGGGAGGCTCTAAGTTCAGTTCCCGACCTGGAGGTCAGCTGGACTGGTACTAAATTTATTTTGCTTGCTTCTGTCTATTCCTGTAAATACTGATACAATAAATTGCAGTAGGTCCTGATCACATCCACATTTTTATAATTCTTTATTAGTAATTATCCTCTCAAAACATTCATATAGCCTATCATCATCATCATCTATGGCTCCACAACCCAGTGTGGGTCTTGCCCACCTCCTTATGGAGGTTACTTACTTATCTATTTAGACATTTGGTGGGACTTCTTGGATGAGTGGTCAGCCCATCGCACAGGACAGCACAATACAGAAAGATGTGGACATAAATGCCTTGAGTGGAATTTGAACCCACAGTCCCAGTGTCCAAGCGCACAAGTCCAACATCTCAGACTGCGTGGCCACTGTAAATGGCATATATAACGTATGCAGTTGGGAAAGCATCATTAAATAATCATACAAACAAACAGAACATTAACTTAAGAAGTGTATGTAACAGGGATCTAAAGATAAACAGCAGATTGTAAAGCACAAAGAGATTTTTGTGAGGATTGAAAGGAGTAACTCTGAGAAACAAACAGCAGAGTGAGAATATAAGGAATTTATTTGAGGAAAACAAAATGACTGATGTCATTTAGGAATGCCAACAGAAGTGGCAAAGTCATGTTCATTGGATGCCACACTACAGGTTACAAAGAAGAGATTTTAACTACAGACCTTGAGAAAATTGGAATTAGTAACACCACAAATGTTCAGTTTGTATATCCTTGGAATGGGTCTGATGGGCGCAAACCTTCTAAGGCACAAGAAAAAGTCTTCTTGTAACCTTGGAATGGGTCTGATGGGTGCAAACCTTCTAAGGCACAAGAAAAAGTAATACATAGCATGTGAGCTTGTTATAGTGGCGATATGAACATACCTACAAACTCTGTACAGAAAAATTTTTCTTTGTGATGTCATGCCTCCATAGAACTGGAAACCAATGTGGTGACTGTTATGTGCCCACAGAATTCCTGTACTGGTTGGTTGGAGACAGCAGAGAGCCTGAGTTGCCAGGGATGTCCACTTCTCCCGTAAGACAACATTTGCTTAACAACTGCTTCCATGAACGAGATGAGGTCAGCCTAGAAACCCTGCGACTCTTTGAGGTGAGATATAACAGGACACTAATGTATCACTGATTACATCGATTACTTCAGAAGAAGTTTTATATTGTTCCTTTTGGCTGTGATGAAATAAAGTACTGTAAAGAATGTTCTTCACTAGCATATAACATACACTTTATATTTTAATGAATGTTGTTTCTGTCTGCCTCCATGATTGATACAAAACATGTTACTACAAAACTGGCAAATACTGTACTTCATTTTATATTACACCTATGAAATCTTGTGTAATGCCATGATAAATTTTTGAGATATCTTATGAAAGGTGTTATGTGTAAATATACAGGTAACATAAAAGTAAAACAGGTTTTTCAAGAAAAGATTTAAAAGCAGATATGATAGAATGCATTGGAATTATTCAATTTGCATTTTGTGTTTATTTTATTTTTCTTACACGTTTAATGGCTTGGTACTGAACAGTGTGGTCACATAGTTCGCTCTATTCTGTTATGCTGTATAATCTGAGCTAAATACTATTGACAGCATCATTAAATAGACTGTAAGTAAATTACTTCAGGATTAATTACTTGGTGATCAACTTTTGTTGATTATTTATTATACTGGCATCTCTTAAACAAATTGTTAAAAATATTACTTCTTCAGGTCCTCTTTGCCTGTATCATGACATCAGTGTCATTCCCTGAAATTTTGTGTTTGTAAGTTTTAACGTCATCAGCACAGTGAGTTTGTCGTGGCTTCACACCTGCCTCATGGGCTTTCACTGTTTTGCCAGTGATCACATCATGGTCATACACAATGCTGATAGGAATTCCCCACAGAATTACTTACAGTGGCTACATGAAGAAAGTGTTGAAAAATTGCAAAATGATACTGAATGGTGAAATGTAGTTAAACGTGGATATAGAGTAACTGATTCAACACAGCAGAGGTTTTTTAAAATGAGGCTGGCCAGTAAGGTTGAAGTGTTCTGTTTGTTAAGGTGCTGCTGGAGAAGCCAAGTGAGCATGTCCTTTACTGTTTGGTGTTGGTATACCTGACTGCACGGAATTACTATGACGTCTCTGCATCAGACTCGTTGATTGGCTCTTGGAGTGATGAAGATGAACGTGAACGCCAAAGAGAGAGTCCTTGTATGCTCCTTTGAATTGAAAATTTATATATTTACTGTTGAGTTTCTAGACCTGACTATATGAACACATTTTTGTGAGAAACAGTTTTTTTTTCTGTTTTAAATTCTCATCGTAATGATTATATAAATCAGTATTAAATACAGAGAATGTCTCATGACATAAACTTTACAATTCAGCAATGATCAGTGGAGGTTATTACAAGTCAAAAATAAAGAGTGCCATGGATGCATGAGGCTCTAGGGTGATCTAGCCCTTGGCCTGGCTAGCTCAAAGAGGGGGTGCCTAACAAAGGTTTATGCCCTCTTATCCTTTTTACCTGATGAAAAAGGCATACTCCAGCTTTCAAAAAAATTGTAATTATATGATTTAGACAACAAGCAAAGAAAAAAAATTAGTTTTATTCATTATAGTGCACCATCATCAAAAACCTCCAAACTTTCATGATAGACATATTGGCCTGTTCATGTTTGAACAGATTCCCTTATGAAATTGTTATGTATTATTACATGAATTTAAATAATTTCTACAACATGTTCTGGGCATAAATGAGTATGGTTCTAGCTAGATGGTCCTAGAAGATACAACATATTCAGTTTTTATATGTGCATACAGTGTGCACAATTGTATCATCATCAGACTGTCAAGCATTTGAGCATTTTGTTGTCTTCTTACAACCTCAGTCATCTTATTAGTGTTTTGTGTGATTGCCTGCGCTTTTTGTCTGTATTTCATCCTTACTCTCTCAGCACATACCACTCAGATACCATACATCTGCAAAGATAATGCATCCTTTGCTCCTTCAAGTAATTGGCTGCACATTAATTTTTACTTTCAGTTCTATTAGGCATGTATTGAAGAACTGACTGAATTGAATGTTCACAAATATACTACATTTATTTAAATGCTGTGAACCTTTGAATAAGATATGCACCTCAATTTTGGTGTTTTATGAGAACCTTTTTGTTTGAATGAAATTAATACCAAAGACTAAAAGTGATAAATTATATGAATGTCCTGATATAGAAATCTATAAAGACACGTGTGAATTTGATTGTTTCAGTGCTGGATTTTTCTCCTGGGTCATCGCCTGTTAGCAGGACTCTTGCCCCAAGCAGTATTAACAAAATTATAAACAGGTAAGTGAGTGTGTTTGTTGCTGGTGTACTGTATTTAAACAAATACCTTACAGCCCCAAATAAGGTGCATATACCAAAGAATTTCCTTCTTCATAGAGTGAGTGAGTGTTTAATTAATTACCATCACACTTCATGAATGCAAGAAACTGGTTGCAGTACCTGTAATAAGAAAGTTCCCTTTTGTTTTATGTAGATGTCGTGATTGTGATACCTGCTCCTATTGTAAGACTGTTGTTTTGATCTTGACAGCTTTATTTTCCTGCTGCCCCAACACTTGCATTCTACAACTGATCCTGATGAATCAGGTTATGAGCAGTATGTGCAAGATGCAGACAGACAATATCAGTCATGCATAGCAAGATGTGCCTGCTATGCATGGCCAACTGAAGCAACCTTTCCTGAGCCAGCCGAGTATGATGATTCACACAGCTCTGATTCATGTCCTGAAGCTGACCATGGCCACCACTTCTATGAAGGCCCATTCCTGCGGATGCTGTTCACCCGCCTTGTGCGTTTACCATACCAGGTGAAAAGAATATTGTAAATTTGATAGACGGACACAAGTGGAACATTTGAGGTCAGCTTTTAGCCTCCTTTACTTATTTTATGTGCAAAAGGTTCATGGTGTTATGTGTGTGCACTTCTGCCTATCATGACATCACACATGATGTGAAAATTAATAAAGAGAAAATTATTGTTCCATGGTCGCTAAAGTATTCATGAATGTTTCAACATATTTATTGTTAGAATATGTGGATCCCTTCCCATGTTGTAGGGTTAATTTCAGAGAAAGTATATGACATTTTTATTTGTAAATATACTCCATGGTTTTAATTGAGGAAGTGAACCTTTGGGTTCCATTAAATTTAAAAAAAAATCCTGAGTGCCTGAGCGAATGTTGGCTTCTCAGGAAGGACTCAGCTTCATGAAGTAAGTGGAGTTTGTTGATTCTTGTTCATCTTATCAGGAAATTCCTTTTTATGGAACACTGAGGTGTACAAATGTATACTATTAGACTCTTTTCCACATCCTCTCAGCCTGTCACCAAAACATCCATTTTAACAGTATTTTACAATTTATTTGTCTTCTGTTGAGGTTTTCTAGCAAACATTTTGTGTGTATTTATTAATCCCCCATGCTGCATGTTACAGATCTTGTGTATCGCATCATTCACCCTGAAATATGAGATGAAGAATACAAATCTGAAGTTCCTTTGCATGTAATTGTAACTTTTTGTTACAGCCATACGAAATCAACCTCCAGCTGACGGGCCTGGTTTCTCACCTTGCAATGTTGCCTCACCCATACCTCCATGAGTACTTGTTGAATCCCTTACTGCCAGTGCACAGCGAGGCCAACTCATTGTTTTCCGTTCTTCAGCTGGTAGCAGGCGAGCTTGTGAGCCAGGTCCCTACAATAAAGAACTACAAACACCTACTGAACAGCACAAGACAGAAATTGTTGGGTGATGGAGATGATGTGCAGTAAGTACAGCATCCACTATTCTTTTATTTGTTCATCATCATCCATTGCCGGGTCCACTTGGTAAAGCCCCTCTATCTCTTCCTGTCCCTCCACCACTCCTCTTCTTCCACCAACTGCCACTGGGCACCTCTCTCCATCACTCCTCATTTTATCTGCTCCTCCCACCTTCTTCGTGGTCTTCCCCTTGGTCTTGTGCCAGTCACTCTCATATCCAACATTTGTCATGCTATCTGCTCTTCTCCCATTCGCTTCACGTGTCCATACCACTTCATTCTTGCTTCCTCTACTCTCTCTACCAGACCCCTCACATCCATTTGTTTCCTAACTTCCTCATTCCATACTCTATCCCTCCTTGTTATACCCAATGCACTCTTCAAAAACTTCATACCCATTCTTTCCACCTTCCATATCTCCTTCCTTCCCAATGTCCAAGTTTCTGCTGCATATGTAACAATTGGTACAAGGTACACCTCATACTGCAACCTCTTGCACCTCATTGGGACTTCCTGTTGCCATAGTAAATCTCTCACCGCTCTGTAGAAACTCTCTCCCTGCTGTCCCCTCCTTACTAGCTCCATCCTATTGCGACCCTCTTTCTCGATTACACTTCCCAAGTATTTGAGTTTCTCTCCCCTTAATTCAATCCCGTTCCATACTCTGTTCTGCGTTCGTGATATACACACCACCTCACACTTCTTGATGTTAAACTTCATGCCACACCTCTCCACCTCCTCTTGCCATACTTCCAACTGTTGTTGCACTTTTCCTTCTCTCTCTGTCCCACACCATCACATCGTCTGCAAACACCATTGCTTTCATTCCATTCTTGCCAACTCTTTTTGCCACTCTGCCTTCCAAAATAACCACAAATAAGCTTTTATTTGTTATTGAAAATAAATCTATTTTCTATTTGTAGCTTAACCTAGTAGCAGGTCATCGCCGCCTCCTTTCGTAGGTTTCATAGTCTTTAAAGCATGTATTTATGAGTAGTGAGTGACCAGCCCACTGACTGCACAATTTATACTCACTCCTGATTTGACTGCCAGAGCCATCTAGCAGTTAAGCAGTGAATCAGGAGAGAGACATGGGTGAGAAATGGCTGCTGAGTTTTGCTTACGAAACATCTCGTATCATGCTCGCAAGTTTCTTTTACATGCCGTAAACTACGACATGGGACCGCCGGCTTTACTTCCCCTCCGAAGGAAGTTGTGCTACGGATTTTTATCACCCTTAAAAATCCATCGACCTTGGCCGGGATTGAACCCGCGA